GAAGCAGATAATGATGATATATCATAGACGAGAATATGGACAAGCGTACGAGTTGCGATAATCTTCTTCACCTTAAGCTTACTTGCCCCGAATGATAATATATACCAAAAAAGAATGAAAAGTTGAAAACTCTCCATTTATGGTCTTCGATATATTCTTATGTTTTCTTTTTTAAGAATGAATATATACTTTTAGCCGTATATAATTGTGGAAATTAATGGTTAGAATTGGATTGATTGAAAGTGATGAATTAATCTTCTGATGTGTTCCAAGGGACACTGATTTAATTTATCAACTAATTATCAAAAAAAATCCCGATCTGAAAGAACATTTGACAAGTTAATTTAAAGGTTGACAAATTTGACTTCTCCAAAGTTTGGCAATCGTTCATTACCTTTAACCTAAAATGTAATGTTTTAAAATTAACTAGAGCAAATCCTATTATGCTGAAACAAAATCTTACGAGCACACCAACAGAGGGTTGCTGATTTTCACCTAACCAACATCTTGAGAATCACAAGTCAACGTTTTATCTTAATCCTATACTTAATTAATTTTACTCGACAATGGGCATTGCCGCACAAGTTGTAAAGAAGTCACTGCTTCTACCAAAAAAAAGTTACATTCTATATAGTTTCGATTAAAAGAAAAGATTTTTCACCTAAAATAGTAGCCATTTAGTTAGAATTACAAGTTTAATTTTTGTCCAATTTAATGTAAAGTGTTTAACAAAAAGATGGCCTACGATCTCCCGAGTATTCATTTCATTTATCTTCCGAAAATACAAATTCAAGTCTAGGTATATAGTTCCAGCCTTCCAGGTATAAAGGGTCAACGTAGTTACGTTAAGCTAGCTAGATGCCAAACAAGGAGGAAGTTAAACTGCTCTTTTAGTTTTGCTAAGCAGAATTCCTTCACTAGTTGAGTCTAAACTAAAAAGTTCGAATTGTAATGTCATGTTTGCTGACTAAAGAAATTGGGAGTCCCTGCCTACTTAATTATTTACTCCAAATTTGTAGAGCATATATATATTGGAGACTGTCAACCCCTCAACTATACCATTTGCAGTAATCAGTTGACATTTTCTTTCACTTGATCAGAACAAAACATGCAAATTAGGACACTAAAAACCAAAAAAAAATCACGTCGATTAGGGCCACAGAAAACATGAATTATGAGGTTGACTTGTTACACTGTAAAAATAAGCTTATAGTGGAGTAATTATTGGACACAAAGACGTGTGGAGTGTACATCAATTTAGGACAACAATTAATTTAAAGAAAAAACCCTAAGGTCTACGTCCTCTCTATCAAATGAATTCCAAACCAAATGTCCAACTTCAAACATCAATATTAATTAATTAATTGATATTTTGTTGTACTGTCTTTATTCGAAAATAATTGTACAAAAAAAAATTAAGGATAATCATTTCAAAATAGAGAGAATTTTTTCTTAACTAAAATATATAGTACAATAATTTTTGGACACTTTATTTGATCGTAAAACAAATAAAAGAAGTGTTTAACGCTAAAGCCTTCTTGTTCTTCAGAAGATTATTTAATTCTTCAAGTGTCTATTAAGAAATCATTTTTAAGCAAGAAAAAGTTCGGTTGAACTGCTTATCGGATATATCAAAGGATGACTTGTTGGTCACATATATAGTAATTATAATAAAAGATTCATCACTTTAAAGTAGAAAGATTAGTTTGCAAATTCTCTCCTTTAAAGTCAAAATTAATCATATCGGACAATCTGAGAGCTATCGAAATGTGTTGACGTATCAAGGGCAGGTTATTGTTTTCTATTTCAGCTGGGATTTCACCTAATCTCTCGTGGATATTCTTTTTTGTTTTTCGAAAGTCCTGTCGTATGATGTTTGCTTCTTCTTTTTTAAATTTAACTTACACAGTAGCTTCTGCAATTTAGTCAATGTCGCAATATGGAAGCTTTGGACTTACTTGATTTGTCAACTTGGAATCATTTTGATTATTTCTTAACGTACATTACCAAATCACGCGGTTAACCGACTTGGAAAAAGGAAGTCATAGAGAATGACGAGATCTCTCTTTTGTTTTCTTTGGGTGCAAAGGAGGAGATCTTTACTTTCTCGTATAGAAATGTGTATACCTAGGTTTACCTAGTACTCCGCATATTACATCAATTATCGGCTCTGTTTGGTTCTCAACGTACGTTTTTACATTTTCAAAACACCATTTTATGTTCCGAATATAAAAAACACTAAAGACAAACAATCGATTCAAACATACTTAGAGCCTTTTGCACCACACCCTAGTTGCGTTTAATTCAAATGGCAATATGACATTTATGACAATTTTTCTTTTATACAACAATAATAAGTCTTGTGTATAGTATTTTTGAAAGGGTGTCTTGTGTATAGTTACAACGAGAAATTTACCAATCTTAAGTGTACTATGTTTTTAAGTGTGCATGACTAAAACAATAAGCACTTGTTATCTCTTAATTGCAGAATAAGTTTAACATTTTTATTTCAGCATTCAACATTATCAACCCCGAAAAAAGTACTCCATCTGTCTTAAAATTATTGTCCAGTTTGAGATTTCATTTTTAGTATAAATTGAACTAGAAATGAAAATTCAAACTGAATAATAATTATGGGACGAAGGAAGTAACAATGATCTTAGTCCCAAATGTCTCAAACACAGAGGAATATTATTATTCGAATCTGGATTAATCCACTTCAGAGTTGTGACACCAGACCAGACTCATCGAAAGGAAAACATTACGAGAGAAGAGGAAGAAGAAGAATTATCATGTGTGGAAGCCAGATCAAACCCATAGAGGAGTATTTTTGGGCCAATATACAAACTGGTGCTTTAAGTAACTTCCTTTTATACTTACAGTCTTCTTCAAGGGTTAAAGCCCGTGAATAATGAAACAGCATTTCACAATGAGAGTTCATTTACACCAATGTTATCAGCCCAAATTCTCCATTTCCCAAATCCAATAGAAAAAAGATCTCCATTAATTACCCGTGCAATCTTAACACAAAATATCTCTGCTAAAAACCTCATTTTTCTATCATTCTTTCTTCTCAATTCCTACCTTATCTTTCTCCTCCGCCATGGCAACCCTTCTCAACCGCCCTCCTCACGCCAAAACCCTAAACCCTCAATCCCAAACTCACCCTAAAACCCCAACTTTGTTCCTATAGTGATGACGATGATAACTGGTTTTGAGTTCGAGAGGTTTTTGTAATTAGACACAAGATATATAAAACGGCAGTATTGATGTGGTAGTTACTACTTTGGGAGTCTAATAGAATTTGACTTCATTTATTGCACAAGCTTGACTGCTTTTACACCTATCCAATTATCGTCAACAAAACATCATTCAACCAAAAGGAAACAAAAAAACAACTTTTTTTGTAAGAAAGAAAACAACTAGTGCTAGCTTATTTCGGGATTAAGAAGATAGATTGTCACTATTACAAGGAAAGAAAAAAAGAGAGATATATATAAACAACTAAATATCTCAAAATATTAATTTTTCAAGGCAAACAAGAAGTTTGGGGAGAGAATGAGCATGACTAGGTTGTATGGGACCAATATAAGGGTTTAGTCTTTTGTTAGGCGTTCAAACCTCTCTAATATCATTTTATTTTGCCTCTATTTACTAGTGCATGTCATCTTGGCGGTGTTGATATCATCTCGACCATTAATGACATTAGCAATCTTGGCGAGATACAGGGAGTAACATTTAAGTTTTTTCTGAATTTGATAGAGGGAGTAACGTTTTAAGTTTTTTTTGGAATTCCTCCATTTGCTAAAATGACACTTAGGCACTTATTTTGGGATAGAGCAAGTAACATTTAAGTTTTTTAGTTTTTTAAAAATTCAAATAATATGAAAATACCAAAAATACCCCTTCCCGTAATAGATTGAGCTAATTATTTACTTATTTGCCTTATAAATATTCACAAATATCAAAGTTTGCATTGATTTAGCTGATACAAATGAAGGTCAATAGTCAACAGAGCGGAAAAATTGATGAAACAGTAAATTGGGACACAGAAAGCTAAAAACTATAATATTTGGGACCATCTTCTCTAAATATTAATTCTTGGGATCAAAATTTGAATTGGGCTAAATGTATAGGACCATTGAAAATTTCTAAAAATATAAAATATCGAAAATACTCTTGCATGTAGCGGGGTCAATAGTTAACATAACGGAAAAATTGACGGAACAATGAATTAGGACAAAAAAAAAATAGAAACTATCAGGTTTGGGATCATTTTTTTAAATGTTAATGTTTGGAACTAAAATCTGAATTGGACTAAATAAACGGGGCCAATATGAGGGTTTACTCTTATATTATACTCCATTGATAACTGAAATTACCTCATCTCAATGAATATTCATTTTCTTGTTAAAAATTAAAGAGGGAATGTGATCCTTACACACCGGAGCAGAGCCATAACTTGTAGAATGAATGGACGAAAATGTGTAAACAATATTTAGCATGGACGAAAAATTAAAGGGTACTTTTGAGGAAAAAACATTGAGTTGGGGCGACCACCCCTGGTGGTCGCTATCTTCATCAATGCATATACATGGCTAGTTTTAAGTGATTTAATCGTGTTAGTGAAAGTGTCAAGTGAGACGGCATACATTAAAGATACAATGTAAATGATCTTTGTATTCACCATCGGTGTCACACGTTATTTAGTCGTAATTAACATCTTTCATCTAGTAAAATTGCTAATTAATCTCTAATCTCTAATAAAAAAACAGAAACCAATATATCATCTCAATCTTGATCAAACTTTAAAAAGAAAAATCTCATTATTCATAATGGATCAATAAACAACAATTGGTAGTGTCTCTAGTACATGCAGATAACAATTACTTCCTTCGTCCTAAAATTATTATCCAATTCGAACTTTCATTTTCAGCTCAATAATTTTGAGACAGAACGGAGTAATGGATTTACAATCGTTTTAAAAACACTCGACTAAATTAACGCATCACGGTAAACATCCCCTCCACGACAGCAGCAACATCACAAACAATCCGATTGGCATCAACCAAAGGAGATGGAGATGGCTTAAATCCATCATCACATTGATGAGCAGAAGTGGTGACAACATCCATGCTTTCTTCACCAAGCCCTGCATCCCCATTGGTTGCAGCCTCAATCGCATCCAGAATCGCCACACTCATTATTGATGCATCGTATTTGGCCCAACACTCGGTTAAGGGTTGTTTCAGTTCTGGCTTTTGCTTCAGCAGTTCTTCAATGGAATTCATGGCTGATGTGCATTTTGATTTCAATGAATTCACCATTATTAAGGTGAGTCCTTTGAGATCCGCACTTGGGCTTCCGGGATCACTCCTTAAAATGGAGTCGCAGAGTTGGAAATTAGGGGTTTTGTGGCATGTGTTTTCTATCAAATCACACGTACCCAATGGAAGTAATGTTGTTAGTAATATATTGCAACAATAACATCACAAATTTGAAATGTTTTGGCCATGTCTTTTTGTGAATCTAGCAGAATGAATTTTATGTGTTTTGATGAGGTACTATATTTGCAACACGAACTAACAATGAAAATTTATGAAATAACTATATTATGCACTCAGTATCTAAAATTATTGAAAGCGGATCTTCTCATTTGATTTGATTTACTGCAGAAATGGGAAAAACATTACTACAAGGTATTAGATTAAAGTACATACTAATTTATAAGACATACCCTTAGAAAGGGAAGAAAAAATTAATTTGGATCGTTCATACTCAGTCGACCAAAAGTAGGAGGAATTAAAGAGGAGCTTTGAATTTGTACCCAAAAAAAAGAAAAAAAAAACTTTGAATTTGAATGTTGTTAGTACGTAGATATTTTAATCTCAACCCACATATCTGTTCAAACTCTTGATGGAGCAAATCAGCGTATATTATATGCATAAGAAAAAATAAAGAAACAAACACATTATTCAAAACAGGACAAGGTTGTTAGTGCTTAGCAATGGTAGGTCCTTTTATGCAAAAAAGGAAAAAAAAGAAGAAGAAACAATTTAATCATCACATCATATGATGTAGTATCATCAGATAATAGAGTTCCATTTTATGATTTGTTTGTTCTCATCACTTATCTTCTTTTCATTGTGCCAAAGGGATGTTTTGATGGTTCCTGTGAAATCACAAGTGTTTTTTGGGACTCTATAATTGAATAACTTGAAGACACTAATATATACTTCTCTTAAAAAAATATATTAAAATTAATGTTATTAAAACTCATCACTACTTTTGCCGAAAAAGGCCTCTCTTTAATTAATAGTAAAAGTTATCTCTTTGATGATTTATGAAAAACACAATTCATCCCAAGTCAAAAAGACAAAAAGACAAAAATTCTTTTCCAGTTTAAGAAATAATTTTTAATACAAATTAAACCAAAAATAAAACTCAAACTATAGATAATAATTTTGGGACAGAGAGAGTACATATAATGAAGAAGAGTCCTGTGTCAAAAAAGTAGATACAAACAACCATTGATTTTTATCCTCAAACCTATACTACATATGCATCTAAACTTTTTCCACGCATGATGATGATCCTTATTTTAATTATGGAAAATGATATATATATATATATATAGATATAGTGATAAAAACTAGTAACAAAATATAGTGAATGATGCAAAGTAATTATGGTCCCTTATTTTTTAGTTACTTAACTGTTGAAGTTATATCTTTCTCATAAAATTACATGTTGACCCCTTAATTAGCAAGTAATATATTTAATAAGTGTGATTTATATGTAATTCATTAATTACAATACAAATTCACTATAATTAGTCACTATCTCATATTGCTCTTTAATTATATATTGTCACAAACAATAAACTTTTTCTTCTTCTTCTTCTTTTTTTCCTTTAAATTCTTAATCTATAAGAGCATCAAAGAGGGATTATTCTTCAAACCCATAGAAGAAGAAGAAGAAGAAGAAGAAGAGTATTTGGACTGAACTCGTATATGGTTGATCAAACCCATAGAGGAGTATTTTGTTGGCCAATATATACAAACTGCCTTTTTAAAGTAACTTTCATTTATATTTCAAAAGTCTTCTACAAGGGCTAAAGCTCATGATCAAATGAAACCATACAAGTCCATTTTACAATGACATAGCTCATTTACCCAATGTTTTCAGCCCAAATTCTTCATTTCCCCAATCCAATAGAAAAAAGATCCTACAAATCTGCAATATTAACCGAAAAATATCTCTGCTAAAAAAACCTCCTTTTTCTATCATTCTTTCTTCTCAATTTCTACCTTATCTTTCTCCTCCGCTATGGCAACTCTTCTCAACCGCCCTCCTCATCTCGCCAAAACCCTAAACCCTCAATCCCAATCCCACCCTAAAACCCCAGCGTTGCTACTTCCATTTCCATCTGCATCCCCATCTTTCATTCCGTGTACCCTTCCGCACCAGAGACCTACAACAACAACTCATTTGTCTAGAATCCATCCAGTGAAGGCTCAGTCCGAGTTCTCTTCTAGGAGGAGCAACAGCAATAATGAGCCCAGAGAGACTATTATGTTGCCTGGTTGTGACTATAATCATTGGCTCATTGTCATGGAGTTCCCCAAAGACCCTGCTCCTACTCGTGACCAAATGATTGATACTTATCTTCAAACTCTCGCCACTGTTCTCGGCAGGTAATTTCATTCATTATTTCCTTGATTCGGTTTACTTGATTTTGTATTTGCGTTTTCTGGCTTGCAAAGACTGGGGCCTGATTGGGGTTATATGTGATTATTGTAGATACTCGTAAATTATATTTCTGATGACTTTGGATGACGAGTTCCTGGAAATGTGTAATCTGTGGATATCGGATGGGGGATTTAAGCGTTGGTAGTTTGAATTAATTACAGTTTAGTGGGGAAAGACTGAAACTTTGGTATTATGTACGAAGATACTTTAATATTAAACCTATGATCTTTTTTATTCATTTTTGTATGTTATGCATTTCTTCTATTTTTTGTGGATCAACTATGAGAAGCAGTTAGATTTTTATGATATCGGGATGTTGAGGTTTCAGAAATAAATGAGATGCGAGGAGAAGGTGAAGAAACCATATACACCTTGGTTTAATTCATTGCAACAAAGATGTTCCTTATTTGTTGTTTACCAACTGATATTTCTGGCAACCTAATTTTGATACAAATAGACTGATGCAGAGTTTGAGAAAAAAATTATTTTTATTACTTAACTTTAGAGAAGAGAGGGGGGTTCTTTTTACCAATTTAATTCATGCATCAATTTGTTCTTTGCCTTGGCAATTTAACGTATTTAAGATCATTCTCTGTATCTCAGTATGGAAGAAGCAAAGAAGAACATGTATGCGTTTAGTACAACCACATATACTGGATTTCAATGCACCGTTGACGAAGAAACATCAGAGAAGTTCAAAGGTGAGTTATACTATAGAGAACACGGGAGTAGTTTATCAGATAGTAATCTGCATGCTCATGATCTCTTGGGAATTCCTTAGTTCTAAATTCTAATTGGATACTTGGCTATTTATCTTCTGCAGGGTTACCTGGAGTATTGTGGGTCCTTCCAGATTCTTACATAGATGTCAAGAACAAAGATTATGGAGGTATATTCTGTCAAAATATGATGTTTTCCGTAATAGCTATATTATGCTTTGTGGAACCTAAATGTTTTCCAATATTTTAGGTGATAAATATGTTAACGGGGAGATAATACCTTGCAAGTATCCTACTTATCAGCCAAAACAGACACCCAGATCCAAATATAAGAGCAAAGCATACGTGAGGCAAAGAGATGGTCCTCCACCAGAGAAAAGAAAACCAAGAGAAGGGGCTATCTCCGAAACTGCCACATCATGAGCTCATGGTGAGTTTTGAGTCATAATACTATTAAATGTATTCGTGTCCTTTATATCTGGTAATTAAGGTTATGTTCATAGCTTCAGATTTAAATTTCTGAATAATCACTTTTGGAGTTTGCCCAAAGAAAGTGTGCTTAAGCAGCTGTATTTACTTTAGAAATTGCCTTCTTGCAGGTTATTCTCCATGTAGAGCAGAAGTATGTCTAGGAAACATTAGTCGATGAAGAGACACTTGTAGTCAAAGGTTAGGGAACCCCTTAAATCTCAAAAAAATCGATGAAAGTGCTTTTGTTGCTGACTCATGTCGGTTGGTTCGTGAGCACATGATGTGCAACTAGCTCTGAGGTTTTGTAATGAGATGCTTGTGTTTAAATGCGATGCTAATAGCTTTTATATGTATTGGTAGTTTATATGTAGTTATTCATATCCAATCTCTAATTCTGTGTTTGCAATCATGCGAGCTTAAAGAGTGACGTGCCTTTCTATCACTGCATGCTTTATTAGCACCTGGGATCGATTGGACTTGAGAAATGATATTAATCTCCATCTTTTACTCAAAACTACAGGGAGATTTACAGTTATTGAATCACTTATTTCATGTCATTTGGGAAGTTATATATGTGATTGTTTGATGTTCACGGGAAATAAAATAAACTCCCATTTGTTGTCAAGCATCTCAAATGTCAAATTCTATTTGTCGCCATCCTTATTATGAGGAAGGATTGTTGCAGCAAATGGAACAGAGATTGTCAAAAGAAGAGAAGGGTTGTAATTCCTTCAAGATAGTTCATGTAATTAGTGTATCATTTCTCATAATCTAATTGGAAAGGGTCAATGCTTCCTGAAAACTGGAAGAGAAGCATGATACTATTAAGTACGGCGCACACAAATCTGAAGTTGAAAGTTGGAAACTAAGTCTATTTATTTTTATACTTTACCATGATTTTTGCATCACTGAACTTACAGGTTCTGATTATTGAACAGCACATCTTGCAACTTTCCAATTAAATCGTCATCATGCCTAATGAAACACAAAAAGAAGGTGGGTTGTCTCCATCACACGAATTTGACATTTTCGTCCTGTTCAAAACGACTCGTACAACTAGTGCTAGTAGGAAAAAGAAAAAAGCAATTGCTTTATGAATTATGATAATGTTGTATATACTCTTTCCAATTTCCAATTATGATGAAACCAATTTGGCATTTCCTACTTCTTTCTTTTTCGCTCTCTTCCCAGTATAGCCACCATTGAGATAAGGATCGGATGGCTAATGATTTTCTGGGTAGGGTAGAGATCATGTAAATACATCACTTGTAGGTTCCAGGAGTTGAAGTTTCATCTGCTCTTTGCTGTTTCTTTTCCTTTCTCTAGGATGGCTTTCTACGGCTCCAATTACGGAGATGATAATGTCGGTGAGTACCATTGGACTCCTTATAGTACTAATCCATATGATTCGTATGCTGTTCTTCCTTCTGATCAATCTGCATTGCCATTCTCTGCTTATGAATTCAATGAACCAATCCAATATGATTATAGTCCGTACAATCATTTTGATTCATATAGTTCTCTTACTCAATCATTTCAAAATTATTATGCCTGCAACCTTTCTGAACCGAGGCTTTTTCAGTATGATCCTCCTCCCTCGTATGCTGTTCAGTCTTTTTATTCTCAGACTAGTTACTCAACCTATTACTCGAACTCAGAGGTAAAACCCGAGTCCGATGTGATTGAGTTTGAGGAATATGATCCAACTCCTTATGGAGGTGGCTATGATCCCCATCAAACCTATGGCAAACCCCTTCCTCCATCGGATGAAATCTGTTATCCTCGATCATCCCCTGTACCGACAAAACCAGATGGCGAATTGTCGGATGGTTTTTCATATGGTTCCTTTACTCCAGCCCATGGAGGAAAGACTGAAGTACCCCCAAAGCCAGTCACTCCCAAAGAACAAGACTCGAAGGAGGAAAAGATTGCGAAGGAAACAGGCAACAGTGGGAACATTGAAATCCCTGAGGAACCATCAATGCAGGAAGAAGACAGAGGTGGGGATGTAGCTGAACATTCTGCTGCACCTGATAATGGTGGAAATGAAGGATATGGTAACTCTGAATGGAACAAGCAAGTACCTTATCATGTTCCGTATGGTTCGGGTTTGGAATCATTGGATATATGTGAGAGTTTATTTGGTTACTGGCCATGCTTAGCTAAAATGGAAAGGCAAAAGAAAGCTTGTCAAGTTTGTGATCATGAAGAAACTAGGTATGACCCTTGGAAAAGCACTGCTGATTATCTGTTTGGAAGCTCATATAGTTATGGTGATTATCAAGGAAGTTCTTATCAACATCAAAATTTGTATGCACAATATCAACACTAAGAATTTCTCAAGGACTTCATGAAGACATTTTTAGATGATTTTGTGTTAGAAGAAAATTGGAGCCCTTCATTGCTCTTTCTTTGCCTGCTTTAAGATGCTGGCTGCCCAGAAGGAAAGAATTCAATAATTGAAGTTGTTAATAGTTCATTCTTAAATTTTTACGGGCTTACATATGCCCTGAATTCTGCTTTAGAATGTTCAGTTGTACTTGGGCTCAAGCCCAATTATATACTAGAATAACAAATTTAAGCCCAATAAGCATTCATATATCACCATTTTCGTTTTTTATGATTACCAATTTTGTGTTCATCACCCACACGTGAAAGGGCACATTAATAGGGCTCTTAAACGATCCGAGCCGAGTTTGAGCACTCATGAGTAGTTCGGTCAACGGCTCGAGCTCGGCTTGAGTTTGACCGAATTCGAGTCGAGTTCGAATAGTATCATTTGGTTATCAAGTCGAGCTCGAGTACTAAATTTGATGAGTAACTCGAGTAATAAAATATTAATTAATATTTTAATTATATACTAAAATATATTATATAATATAAAATTTTATAAAATTACGATCAAATTTTTTTTTTTTCTAATACTCGGAACTCGACTCGAACTCGGCTCAAACTCGATCGAGTCGAATCCGAGTAGCTATATCGTAAATTCGCCGAATTCGAGCTCGAATTCGAGTACACCACTACTCAGCTCAACTCGACTCGAATACATCCCTAGACCACAACAAACACGTTGTCTAGGACCTCTAGATGGTGAAGATGCTGGATCAGTCCAACTATGTCCGTACTTTGAACCTTTACCTTCTAAGAGGAATTTGCCTGCTCATCTCTTTCATATCATCTACTCCCTTTCTTCCAAAATAATTATTTTTTATTTGAATTTTTACTTTCAATATAGTTTTACTTTCAATTTACACTAAAATTAAAATGCAAATATGATAATTATTTCAGGACAGAGAGAGTACATTTTATCTTCAGTCTTTTATCACTAGCTAATCAAGAGATCATGGCCTAAGAATGGCAAACTACAATTCATGGAAGGACTCGGCTTTTAATGACAATCCTGCTGATAGTATTATTATTTTTAAAAAAAAAAAAAAACTGAAAGCAATACTATTTTATTGCAACAATAAGTTGGTTAAATCTGCGGTCAGTTCCTGAAAGACAGACACCTAATGAAAAGAATACTCATGCTTAGATTCTTTTGCAGCCTTGAAGCTTATTAATATTATATACAAAACTCTTCCTGCTTCTCAAGTGCATGCAAAGTGCATGCAAGCAGACAATCCAATTGTGTAAAGCTCCTTGGCTGTCACTAAAAAGAGTTTTTTTTTTTTTTTTCTTTTTCGAAAAAGATAGAGTAAAACGTACATAATATATTCCTCAAATAAAATCTGTACCACAATTTTGTTTTGTAATATGGACTAGGTAGTAGCTATAGCTACCCATCATAATCATAATCTTTTAACCCCTAGTTATTATTGTCTTTGCTGAGGGTATCCAATGGTATCCATTATCCAATAAAAGGTTTTTTTGGGCTACTTTTTTGCCAAGTCAAAAGTTAAGGGGGGAAAAAATGATATATTTTGTCAGAGTCACCTTGGGCTCAACATTCAAAACAATTGGTTATAAGTGGATTGACTTTTAGAGCTTATAAACAATTGAAAAATCTTTCACGATACTAACGTGAGATTCTTTGTCCCAACATATTTTGCCTCTTGTGTGTACATATTTCTTTTTACAAAATTTTTTCCATTTATAATTATATCTTCAAACACCTTTACCCACACGTGAATACACATCAATTATTTTTTGTCAGGTATTTTTTTCGGACAGAAAATCATTTTCCCGCCTTTTAATTATCATGTTACATTATGACAAAAGTCAGGCATTTATCATAATAATAATAATAATAATAATAATAATAATAATAAATTTGAAACTTTGTCACTTAAAGAGTTTTGTTCGGATCGAATTGAGATTAGTTTAAGTTCTTATGTATCCACTTGAGAGTTGAGACACATCATGGTACCAAAAATAAGGTGTGACACTTTTTCCCCTAAAGAAAGATTCAAACTTATTCATTGAACATATAATGTTTCTGAAGGTCTTTTCCTTTTCATTAACAAATCTAGAATGGAGGACAAAATCCCGCTACAATATGATATTGTTTAAGAGTTTGATCTTTAGGGCACCCTTAATTTTATTTTAATACTACAATTTGAATTCAAACAATGGTTCAGTTTCTGGTCAAAAGAAAAGGTCAGTGCTAGTGTACAAGTATTTCAAAACAGCGCTGGAAGATGATTTGTATATTAAGAGAAAGAGAAAAGGAGGAAAAGTTATGGACAAATAAAGATTACTAATAAAACACAGCGAAGGAAAAAAGCACAAAACATTCTAATCAACACTAGTACAAAAATATCATTATCAGTGGGGGCTAAAAAGACGAAGAAAGTGGTCTTATTAAAATATTATTAATATCATATCTGCCCCCCCTTAATAAATTACGCTAAACCTATTATAATATTCTCAACATCTTTATTTTTAGTCCCTCAATTTATTTTGTTCTCTGTCCTCTTCCTTGTCAAGACTCCCGCGATTTTAGGGGGGAGCTTGTGCCCAAATATTATGACCGATACTGTGGCGCGCCCTTTTTAATTAAGATATTCATGACATGATTTGCTACTCTTTGAAATTGTTTCCCTAAAATTAAGTTTTCTGCTACGCATATTGAGTAGTTTGATCAAACGTCCAAATTACTAAATCTTCAATTCTCATAAAAATGAGAATAACTATAATCGTAACCTAACAATCAAATTGAACAAACAAATTTTCAACCATATATATTTTTATACTATTATTAAACCAGTTAGTAGTGATTATTTGATCTTTTTCTCGTAGCGTTACTCGCCCTCTTCTCTTCAAATATTCGTGGATATTTATTATATATATATATATATTTGTCATGTATGATATTATAAATTTTCTTCAAGAAGAATTTGAGTTATTTAATATTTTTTTCGAATTTTCTAGTTCCGTTACTGACGTACAGATACCAATTATCACGAGTTTTCTTCACATTTTCCCGAATTTCTGATTCCGTTACTGACGCACAGATACAAATTACCTTGAGTTTTCTTCACATTTTCCCGGTCGAATCTCCCAACTTTAACGCACACGACATACATCACTAGCGTGAGCTTGAAAAAACCCGTGATTTGAGAAGATTTCAAATGCATTAGACATGCGTAACACGCCATTAGACTGTCGTTATGCTCGATCCACATCATGCTATCACGTTATTTTCCGTCCACTCCACATTTCTAACGCTCTCCATATCGAAACGTTTTTTTCCCTTCCTTCACTTCATCAAACGATATCCTCGTTTTAAGATTTGACCGAATGAGTTAGTGTGATGTTCCTCGTGAGATGATACATCATACATTTCAATTAGGTCTAGGAATGTTCTCGAACGAATTTTACTCTTAACGTTCTGAAAATAATTATTTAGATTAGATTTTTCAATTTAGTTTAAATTGTATTAAAAAATAAAAATTTAAATCGGGCAATTATTTTGAGAGAGAGGGAGTAAAATCCATAGATTAAAATTAAATTTAGTGTTATAATTTGTACCTATTAAATAGATTCAAGAAAAGTATTATATATATATATATATAAATGAAACAAACAGGGAAAACATAATTATCAATTCCCGATCTGGTTTAGTACTTTTGTACGCATCCCAAGTACTGAAAGTATAATTTGCTAAGAGATGTGAATATTAAGAATCAATAAAGAAGATATTGGAATCATAAGATTATCAGATATTACAAAAAAGTACAAGTAAAAATCCAAAAAAGCTGTTCGAACCTCAGAGTTTCCGTCGTCGGTTTATCAGAATAAAAGAACACAAAAATGCAAGTTGATCATTTTTTAACTAAATTTACTATGACGATGATTAATGATTCTTATTCTTTCTACTTCTTCATCTTCCAGATTATTATTCTGACAATGTTGATTCTCCCGTGACATGGACTCACTGCTAGTAACACTGGCAGTTGGTTTTCAGAAAATAATATACCAAAAAAAAGAAAAAAGAAAACTAAATATAATTAAAAAAAAAAAAAAAACAGCAGTTGGCATGCATGCATACATCAAAACCTTTAGACTTAAGCCAGTTGTTTGGCGTTAGGTGGTTCATTACATTATCATCATCTCCAGTTATATATGTGTTTTCATCAAGTTGTCACATTGTAATGGTTGTTTGATATTTTGATAAATTATTTCAATAAATCCCTTGACTTTCTCGCTTGCTTCGTTTCAGTCCCTAGCATTGTAGATTGTTACAAGCTTAGCCGCTCAGCTTTGTTTTTTCCAATCAATCAAACAATTAGGAGCATGTTTGTTATCTAACAAATTTTGAGAAATATGTTGTCACAAAAGAAAGGAAGAAAATTCTTGTGGACAAGTTATTAGATGAGTTATGGATTTGCGTCTTATCCGTATGTAGTTGTAAATAAATGTATAGTCACTAATGCATGGTTACATAATCATCCTCTAAAACTTTATAAAATTTCTCATAATATTGTTTGAGACGTACAAATATTACTCTTACATGTGAGTTAACTTTTGTTTACATCTGATTTTGGCTAAACACATTTATAAAAAAGTGACAATAATACTTCAAAACTAATAAAATTTTTGCTTCTAAAAAAACCAATTAATTAGATTTCCAAAACAACAAAGATGAAATTGAATGGATGTAGCCTTCAAGTTAGGACATGGGGTCGAATCCAGTAATATACAGGGAGAGTATGGCATAATAGGTTGATTATTAAACTGAGATACAGTGGAATAATATATATTAATCTTTCCTTTTTCTTGTGAAGATCTATTCTATTTCTATGTCGAAAAAGTTTAGGAGAGCCGTAATCATGCAATGTAGGACATGGGAATGGAGTGGCTTCAGACAGACAATTTATGATGTCCGAATCATTGATTCTATATCTTCCTTCCTTTGATAGAAATGCTTAATAATTATACTCTCCTTCAATTAACTGTTCTAATTCATTAGCTCAAGTATTTCATACATTTGTATGCGTCCCTTTCCCCACACGAGAGATCATGAACCTGCATCATTTACAACTCCAATTGAATATATTCTTAGAAAAAAATATACCTGGATTAAACCAATTAATACGGGTTAGATGAAGGATAATATATCTTAATTCATAGAGTTCTGAGGCCAGTAAAATTTATGAAATGTCATTGACGGCCTGTGCTGAAAAAAAAAATCGAGGGCATTGATTGCTTATTCTGTAGAAGTAAGGGACTAATTATATAAATTTAATCAAAGATAAACTAGTACTATTAGTCTACTAATTACTATAGTCCAAAATGATTATCTAGGAAACAAACATAATACCAAATGACACAACTTTGGTGTGTCCCCGTGGACCCCACAGGTCCCACACTATTTCCACAATAATAAAACCCTACTCTAAAATCCTTCTGTTTTTCCACCACCATTCAACAACTCCACACCCTTTTTTCCCTAATTTCTCCCCTATGGTTCTGGAGTGAACTCAAAGTCTCAAAAGCTTTCACACACCATAATCTAAAAATCTCCCTATGGCAAACATTAACTTCACATATTATTCACTTCTCCTGCACCTCTTCTTCCTTCCATTCATCACTAGTTCAGCTTCCATCCATGATCTCCTCATCAGCCAAGGCCTTCCAGCTGGGCTGTTCCCAAAAGATGTTGTGAAATCATACAAAGTGGATGACTATGGACACCTTGAAGTCTACTTGGATAAGCCCTGTGTTGCTAAATTTGAGACCAGGGTTTTCTTTGACACTGTGGTCAGAGCAAATCTCACTTATGGTGGACTCACTAATATGCAAGGATTGTCTCAAGAGGAGCTGTTTTTGTGGTTGCCTGTTAAGGATATCATTGTGTATGACCCTTCCTCTGGCCTAATTCTGTTTGACATTGGGTTGGCTCACAAACAGATGTCTCTTTCTCAGTTTGAAGACCCTCCTGCTTGTAATCCTCAAGGTAATTAATCCATCATTTTCATTTTCCTTGTTTAAATCCTTGTTATATTTCTGGGTTTAATTCAGAATTGTGTAAAAGAAGTTTGGCTAACTTTTTTTTTATTTTGTTTGATTTTTGCAGGGGAATTGGAGGAGAAGAATATTCGAAGGGTACAAGGAGCTCAAGCTCAGAGATGATTTGGAGGTTATGATGGATTTACTTCCAATTATTAGGAGAGGGAAATTATGTAGGTTGATCTGGGTCTTGTTGCTGCAGTTTTGGGCTTTTCAATGTTTTGCTTTTGGGTTTTTCTCTGTGTTCTTCCTGAAAGGCGTTCGTTTGGGTGGCTTATAGAACTGTAAAAATTGCTTAGTTGACAAGGGAAAAAAAAAAAAAAAGTTTTAAAGATGAAGAAATTAGTGTTGATTTGAGCCCAGAATTAACAGAAAGTTCTGATTGTTTTTTTTATCTTATTAGTTAGTATCATATTACCGGAGGAAAAAAAAAAAATCCAGTCAGTAAATGTCAGTGTTTGTTTGTTCTTCTGGTCTTGTTCTCCGCCAAATGTAAGAGGAAGCCGGCGAGGCTTCCGAGGCCAGAAGAAAAAGAAACAACACGGCAATGATAAAAAAGAAAAACCAGCCAAATGGCACAAAAGTAGGGCCAGCAGGATTAACTATTATTATTATTTTTTTTTGAAAAAAAAATAATGAATTTGGTTGGGAAAAAGGTTCTTCAATCAACCTGTTCCAATAAAATTCGTCCAGCGTCGGTTTTTTAAATTTTAATCTCTAAAATAAGAAAAGAATCATATGGGTCACTGCATATTACAGACTAGTTCGTAGCTGGATCCAAAACGGCGTTGTCGAGATAATAATTTCAAATTTTAGGATGAAAAACTTTGACGAATTGTCCTGCGTTTTTAGGAATTCATCGCTGGAACCAAAAAAAAAACGGTTTTATTTTGTCGAGCTAATGCCATTTTAGAATGATTAGGAAATTTTTGACAGTTTTTGTAGGTTGAGTCTCCGAACGTTAAATATAATACTTGTAGAAGTGATTTTCTTGAGATGACGTGAGAGAAAAAATATTTTTATTAATTTAATGACAATTTTTTTTTATACAAATAAAACCTTTTATTGAAGTTTTTCCTTTCTAAATTTTTTTTGTAATAATAATAATCATTACAAAACAAAAAATATTGTTTTTAATAAAAAAAAAAAAAGTCCCAAAAATGTTGTTACTAGTAAGATACCCGGAGTACATGATGATGGGTTGAATAAAAGAATAATGGTGACGGCCTCACGGGTGTGACTGTGTGGTGCATTTGGGAGACATCAATGGTGAATTGATGTTACTGGGCCGACGAGGACTCGACTCCTAAAACCAATGATTCAGTGTTCATTTTATATTTTTATATTTCGTTCTAACACATTTTTTGCCTCACCGTCAACTAAAGTCTAAAACAATTCCCAAAATGATTAACAAATTAAAATTTTTCATTACGAACCAAAATTGCCATAAAATGTATAGTTTGAACTTTAAATCATCAGCTCAACCATTTGTACATAATAACTAATTAAGATTGTCCTCTATTCGCATAAATTGTATTCTTGATGCTGCCAAAAAAAAAAAGTGACCAATTCTGAAATTACAATCGGACTAGGAAGAAGAGCAGATCGTCTGTCCAAGAGTCTTCTGTCTTATCCTGTCTAATGAACGAAACGACATCGTTCTATTCCGAAAAGACACCAAACTTTTATCTCTAATAAACTTTTCCAACCCAAAGTCGAGTAACCGACCCACCGGAGAGGAGAGCAGTCACTCCGGTTATTTACCACCTCAAATTCCAACCAATAATCCTTAAGTACAGAACAAAAGCATGTTTCGAAACTGAACCACAAGAGATTCAAAGCAACAAGGCTTCACTAATTAAAAAAAAAAAAAAAAGCAGTAGGGGAGTTTGTTTCTTTCTATTCGATGAAATTCATCCCAAGATAGAAGCTTTAATATGAATCCATCAGCCTGATTCCAAAACACTTGCCTTAATTAAAGGGGGAGTTTTACGGCATCAGTCATTATTTCAAACGGCTGAGTCGAATCAGGTGGCCGGCGGATGAAGAGGAGCATCAGCAAGATCAAAGGGCTGATATGGAGGATGAAGAGGTACCGGTGGCCGGCGGATCAAAGGGCTGATAAGTGGGGTTTTTTTTTTACAAACCGATGTCGTTTTACACAGTGAGACAGGATAAGACAGAGGACTCTTGGACAGACGATCTGCATGATATGTGCTTGACAACTGGAGTTGGGCAGGGGTGTGCGGGGTCAAGATGATAATTTTGTCGTGGAAACTTTTAGGGGGGAGACCAATGCCTGAAGATTCATGTGTTCGTTCCTGTTTTGGAGGTTTCTATGAACATCAGCCAGGCCTCTGTTGGGGTCCACTGATTATTATTAGCATGATTGACAGTGGTCTCAGGTGAAATTAAAAGGGATTTAACTAAATGTGATTCTTAAGGTAAGTATGTTACTAATTACTCCTACTATTTGCTTTCAGAATCCCTCGGACATGTTACTAATTACTTTTGACAATGTTACATGGTCCCTATTTTTGTCCCTCTTTATCTTTTTTTTTTCCCCCTCGCACAATACAGAAGGCAAGACATAAAAGTTAAATGATTATTATCTTGTTACATTCACAGCCTAAACTAAAACAATAACACAATCTAAACTAAAACGACAATATCTGTAATCTTCATAAACCTATTCCATTCCTAATTAGTCTTACAAAAAAGTATTGCAGAAAATCCTATGAGGCTTGTATTACCAATGGCATAGAAATTAAATCAAAAGCTTTAAATTTTTTTTTTTCCCATATTGCCCAAATTGTTTTGGTCGCTTGTTAGAAGAATTGTCTTTTTTAAACGTTACTTTCACAACATGAGCACAAAAGTATCGTGTAATTTTTGAGGTTGGGACTAAGGTTGTCAATTGGTCAGTCGAACAGGTAATTGGGCGAGTGTATTTATCAGTCATTTTTTGGAGTGGGAAAAAGGGAGATTTGGTAGTGATAGTGATTGGGAAGGAATTGGTACGAGGAGACAGATCTGTAGTCCTTTTAATTAGGATATTTTTTTTGGAATCCTTATTCCTTAAGATTTACAAAAGCTTTCAACATCTTTTGGGCCTTTTTTATTATTCTGTCATATGCATTCGATGTAATCAAAGATAAAAAAAAATTTGGTCAGGTTAGCGATTCATGGAAGTTGAAGAATGCTTATCAATTGAGAACACTTTGTACTGTTTTCCTTCTTCTTTTTTTTTTTTCTTTTCTTTTCTTTTCTACCTATTTTGATTGATATTAGTAAGAAGAAGACGAGTTCAAACCAGAGACATAATCACGCACCTTGCACCTAATTTTCGTAAACTCTATTAAAAAATATCATCATTATGATAAAAATAAAAAATAAAAAATCGTGTAAATCGCACAGTATCATGTAATGTTGGGTAGTTACCCTATTGCTCAGATTACTAGTTCTATCGGTAGGTCTCTCTATATAGCTTAATTTCCTAGGAATGTGTTGTTATGAACTTCGCATTATAATACAACAAAAATTCTTGGAAATATTTCCTTTAATAAATGTTCCATATCTTGAAGGCCCAAATATAGGCCCGCATGTGGTTTCAACTCAAAACCAATTGGTGATAAGGGAAGTAGCACATGACGTATATATGTTGATTCAAGTATTTCTTTCCATCCATGTGGGACAAGGGAACATTAGGCTATTTTCTTTCTTTCATTCGTTTAACACATACTTCTGATAATTAAGTAAGAAACACGGACATAACACGGAGAAGAAAACTTGTTTAATTCAATAGCTAGTTAATTGATTGTATCATTAGAACATCAGATCAATTAAACAAGTGATCTCAACATAAACATGCGCTAAAAGAATAAAATCACTCTATTTTGATATTCTATTTCTAATTCACATTGCAAGAACAGAAAATGCAAGACAAAAATGGAACATCTTTTGAACCTGATGAAGATGTATCAATGGATTCAGAACATAGTTAAAAAAAAAAAAAAATTCAGAACAACCTTCATCAAAGATCGTAACAAAAGAATGCATTAATCTTCAGCTAGCTGTGAGGTTGATGGTACTTTCTTGTAATGCGGATGTAACAGTAGATTGAAGCAATCAAAGCAGTTGCAAACCCACCCAGAATCATATCTCCACAAGCCATGGATCCATTCAAAGAATGGTGCCTGCTCCTTACGTGTGTCAGCAACACCGGATCCGCGGGATCGACGAATCCCCCTTCTTCAGATGGAGCTGGAGAAGCAGAAGGAGATGATAATGGTGGCCAGCTGAACTGCAATCTTCTGGCAGCTGCTTGAGCATTTCCAATGAAGAAGGAAACCTCAGCTAAAAATAAAAAGCAGACAAGAGGAAGAAGAAACCTTGCCATGAGAGAAATCGTGCACTCTGTAGTTAGGGAACATATATATAAAGCTTGATTCACTTAATCAGTAGTAGACCAAATGAATAGGTTCATTTATTCATTTTATACTCCATGTGTATGATACTGGGGAGAGTGGCAAGAAGATTCTCTGACTGAGTGAGTCTTTGTTGGGAATAATATTTATGAAAAGTCGGTAACTCTGACTCACAACGTGATTTTTGGAGTTATTTTGTGAATCCCAATTGGGATTTTGCTTGCATCTTTGGACACTTTTGTGGTAGTGTCTTACCAGGGGAGGCATTCTGAATAAATTTATTCAGTCTCTCGCTACTGGATTTCCTGCATTTTCCTAAGACATTGTGGTTACTAATTGAAGAGTTATAGTGAAGTGATTCACTTGTTACTGTACCTCAAGTATTCCCTCCGGTCATTAATATGAAAAATTTTGATTTGTCATATGTTTCACCTAATATATATTTTTAATATAGTAAAAATACATTTTAACATTCGTTGCGTTCTCTTGATTATTATGAATTTGTTTAAAAAAATATTTGTCAATTAAAAAAGCATACTATGTGAAATATAGAAAAAAATTAAAATGCCTTATGTTAAGGACCGAAGGGAGTGCTTTACTGGTCGCAGGTCCAATTTTCTGCTAACAATCTCAATGAAACTCGCCGCACAATTGTCTCGGGGAAAAAAAAAAGAAAAAAAGCAGGGATTCCATGTAGTTGGGATTAAGATATCTTACTGTAGTAAAACCAAATGAAAATCTCATCCATTTAATTCAAGAGGAACTTTGATTAATTGATGAATCATGGGAACAGAGTGGGACATTATCAAGTTTCTATTTTTCAGTTCTAATAAGGTAAAACTAATCGCCAACTCTTCTCAAATGAAAACTAGGAGAATAAAAAATCAGGAAACGGCCTAGGATTATTTGTAGAAACTCATTATCAGGTTTAAAGATTAAGTCCGAAATCGGAATGAATGATGACAAAAATGTCGAGCAATGCCATTACAGGGGAGCTCAAAGGCTGATGATTTGTGTCACATGTTTCTGACTGTATCCATCAAGAAATCTCTGATTTTGGCTACTTCAATAAATCCACCATGGTAAGCCTGAAACACAAGAGAGCAGCCGATTTATGAGATGGATAATTCTGGAAATCAAATCTGGAAAAAAAAGATTCATCTAGAACAGAGTACTAATAGATACAAGACGAATTCTAGTGTGAATTTGTCGCATGATTTCATCAAGGCTAAAAAGCCACTGTCCTTGGACTTAATTGCAGTAGCAAAAATGTGGAGCAGCTAAATTCTGTAGTTGGTAAAGTGGATTTAGATATGAAACTGTACCTCCACACAAAGAGTAACCAAAAGTCCTCCCTTAATTGTGGTAACACTGGTGTCTTGAGGGTGAAATCCAAGGACGGTAATGGCCTCAATCAATTTAGTCAGTGCACCATTTTTCTTCTGGCAAATGATTTGAATCCAAAGCTTATTTCCATAAAGATGTGTGACCTGAACTTCTGTCTGTTGACATGAAAAAAAAGGCAAAAGGGTTTAAATTCAAAATCATGTGATCAAGAAAAAGAAATGATGAAAATTGTACAATTACCTGCAGTCCACATTCCTTCATTTCCAATTCAGCACCATGAATTTTCACTTCATTCTTGCAAGGAATCATTTCCTCCTTTAACAATGCATCAATGGAATGAAGTTCATCACTAAGTTCTTCCACAGTGTTCTGTAAGTTCTGGATACAAGTTATCGCATCAGTGATTATGGTTGCCTTGTTCATCTGCAAAAACAGCAAAAAAAAAGGTTTGGAACTAACTTCATGATCATCGCTAAAAGAGAATAAAAGGGCTTATTGGGATCATCACATTGGTGATATTGGGACAGAGGGAACGCAGCTCCAGGAGTCGATCACTGAGTTTCTTTCTCCTCTTCCTCTCAGCTTTCAGGTTCTTGGATTTGAACTCTTTGGTATCATCATCACTGTTCCTCCTTGAGCTATCATCCTCTTCAGTAGTACTTTTGAAGGGCAGAAAGGAACAAAGGCAGGGTATCCAACAATCATCTCCGAAACGTTTGAATCAAAGAAGCCCTTTTTTTTTTTTTTTTTTTGAGTAGTGTTGGGAATTATGAAATTGTAGAATGGCTGAAAGCCGATGGGCAGTTAGAAAAAAACCATTCTGTTATTCAGTTTATATAAGATGTAGTCACACAGCTGGTAACACTTTGTTTCCAGCCGGGAGAAAAAAACAAGAAAAAAAAAAAGAGAGGGAATCTTTATTGTTATAGTTTGTTGGGCATTCAACCATTTCAGGTTGAAGGTCTACAATGATGAAAATGTGTTCTCCAGAATGGAAAAATAAAGAAAACGCAACATTTCCAGCCATAAATTTCCTGAATCAAGTTGATGATATTGATTTAATTTTCTGTTTCATTAGGAAATGGTGCCTTTTAATTTTCAGCCTCTAGCAGGGGTCAATTGTGGTCAACACCTGATTATGTGTGTGACGTTGGGACCAGTTTTTGGGGATGTTGCCAAATACAAATGAGACTGATCTGGGACTGTGGAGAGTTGATGCAGTTAGCATAATTTGACGTTTGGTTAGGTACTTTACTTCGTTACACCTCAATTTATTTTGGATCTTGGAAATTCAAAAGACTCAGACAGCATTGCGTGGTATAACTGAAGGCTCTTCATACCTCACAATTAATTAATCTCAGTATTTGCGATTAAGAAAGATTTGATCCCTTGACAGTTGACTCCATTGTTAGTAGAAAACCGTCCTCCGCTAACAATGGAAAGTTGTGGAGATACACTGTCACCAGACTTTTTAATTAGAGTGCCAAACCAGTACCTCCATTTCGTATTCCTAAATGAAATGGTCCCAAATCAGAGTCCCCAGTTTCACCTTTTTCTTTCACAAGACATTCAGACTGTGTATAGTGTATACAGGAACTGTGGCACGCAATAACCATTTTGGAATTTGGAATCGACTTTCTGCCGTTAACTTTACAATGGATCCTGGAATCATGGAATTCTTAAGTTTTACTTGTTGGTCCCAATGTTAAACTAGATTAGGAAAGGAAGGAAGTTTCGCCCGTTTACGTTTAATACTTTCTTTTATCTTTAAATTTGACCCAAAATCGTGATAGATGGATCAACATTATTACTCTCTCCGTTCCAAAATAAGTGTCGTTTTAGCAAAATGGAGAAATTTCAAAATAAGTGTCTTTTTCATATTTCAATGTATTTTTGGTCAAAAATTTCCAAATATACCATCAAAAAAAATAATATTATTGGTGAGCATTATTTTAATGGGGTTAGTTGAGAATATTCTAGTAATTTAGCTACTATATTTAAATGTTTCTTAAACTGTATGTGTGCAAACTCTAAAATGATACTTGTTTTGGAATGGAAGTAGCAATACTTAGATAACAAACTCTATAATTCATATATTCTAGTGCCTGCCTATTAATCGACAACAAGAAGTCATAACTATACTAGTAAATTAAAGATCGATCATGGTTGTAGACTAAGTAATTCATTACGCAATGGAGCAAGAATTTCATATTTCTAGCCATCCATCAAAACATACATTAGCATACGTAAAACCTTAATAAAGGGGGAAGGAAAAACATGAAAACATCTTAGCAAGCTAGCTAAGCTATCCGGAGGATCCAAACTTAATGGGTTTGCAAATACCCAGTCTTATTTACTAGTAAGAGTATGAATAGGTTTTCCGCTGGCAAGCAAGCTTTGATTCCACTTTCATTTCATTTCACCCTGCAAAACCAAATGGATCAAATCTTATTAACCAAATAATTATTTAACTGGTAAAAGAAATTAATCCAAGCAAAAACCCACATAATGGAAAATCAGAGTAAATTTTCATATAATGCATGATAGTAAATCCGCAAAATATGTCAATACTATTAATTATTAGGTCAGATATGCATTTTACGAACCAAAATTAGCAAGCAAGTAAATTATGTTAAGGAAATAACTTAAAAAAAGTAAAATACTTGTCGCAGTCGGTTGCGAAGCTGATTGGGTAGGGAACGTTGACGCTACAAAGGCTCGGGAGATTGGCTGCGTTGTCGGGTTTGATTGCGGGTATGGATCCCGCAATCGACTTCAAGCAACGGCAAGCATCCTGGCGATCGGAAGTTGTTCCGGCCGCGTCATTAACTGCCCGAACGCCGTCGCAGCAACTGAACGCCGGCGCGTCGCTGCCGCCTTCTAAGTACGTAAGGCATGGGGCTAGGTGGCTCATCACTTGTTGGCAGCTAAAGGCGGCCTCAGCCGCATGGGGAAATGAAAGTGAAAACCCCATCGCCACCATGCAAACGACGGCCAGGCTACTAACAGCTCCGTTGAATTTCATCGCCATTTTTCACCCAAAATTTCTTGTATATGAATCAGAACTTGAAGTTAAAATTTCAAGAAATGGTGGAACTTGCGAGGAGGTGATTCAGGGGGATCACAGACATTGGTGAAGGCATCAAGGCCTTCTTATATATAGGCCTTTGGTCTTCATCTGAAAGTGTATAGCATTGAATGAAGTCTTAATCTGAAGTCTAATTCAGAGATAAATGGTGCGTTTTTATTGAAGGACTTGATGGGCGTAGTGGTCACAGAAAATTTGACTACTTTGAAAGATATATGTGAGAGCTACTCGTTCCGTCCTTATTATAAGTGATTTTGATTAGTTCTAAATTTTATTTAGTATGTTTTTCTAATTGAAAATAATTTTTTTTAAACATGTATTTTTCACATTTTTTTATATTCTTCCAATTATTATAAAATATTTTTAAAGTTTTATTTTCAATTACAATAACATATTAAAAGATGAAATTTACGACAAATCAAAATAGTATATGATAAGGATCGAAGGATATATTACATCAACTTTTGTATTCAAACTGAACCCGTATCCCATAAACCTTCTCTGTCAAACTTTATACAAGGGGAGATATCCAAAATTCCAAATCTTAATAAATAAGTGCATGTATTAAACGCCGCCGTTGAATGACATTAAAATTACAATTTCTCATATTAATTATCTTATCTTACGCTTTTAGTCTACGTAACTTTACATTGGTAACAACTAACATCACATGAGATAAAACTCTGCCTTTGCATTAAGGGATCGATTACAAAAGGAAGGGAAAGGAAAAGCGAGCGAGGAAATTTCCATTTGTTTTCAAGTGATTGATGATTTTCACTCGTCAGTATAATGAAATGAGAGGTAGTGTAATACCACACGAAACTACCAATGTTGATGCGAGGGCCTAAAAGTACCCATTTTCCTTTGAAAAGATAAGAAAAACCGTCCATGTAAGATACCATATTAATATTTGAGTCTTAATTTAGGTCCTGCATTCCGATCTCCGAGCAAAGATGCACGGCATAATTTCGGGGCTTATTTAGCTCAATCTAACTTTTTCCGTTAAAAAAGTTAAATTAATTTTTTACTTGTCAGGTTAGGTGTTTTAGGTTTCGACCTCAATTCTATAGAATTGCCGGAGTAGCTTTTGTTCAAGTGCGCAGGATTCTATAGCAAGAGTTGGTGAAACCAAACAGAGTACAGTCCAATTGGGTCGTTCAACTTGGTTGGGTATATCACAGTCCAAGTCGTGCGCAAAACACGTGTTTAGTAGAGTATATTAATCTCTCCGTTCCCAAAAGTAAGTACACATTAAATTTTAAATTTTATACTTAAAACAATACAAATTTTAAAATTTAATGTAGATTAATTTTTTAAGAACATGGATGATAATTATTCGATCGGTAAAGTCAAAGGGAAAAAAAGACCAGAAATGATTTGACCAGACAATTTTTGTGGATCTCGTATTATTTCTCATCAATATTCTTCAGGCACAATTAATTACGTTTACCCGCGCGCATGTACATTTTATTCCGAGTGACATAGGATTCTAACACACTCCATTCCGCTCAAAATAAAATTTCAGATCAGTATTGATCTTTTTGAATGTTTAACTAGCCTTTTAAGTAACACAAAACCTACGCATATTAGTTGAAGAAATATGAGTTTTTTTTTTTTTTTGATTGATGACATATTTGTTTGTCAAAATGACCCGATTAAAACTTCATTAGTTAACTTGTACAAATTTGTTTTGGAGGAGTGATCAAAGCGGATCAGACCTCCAAGGCTCCAAATGAAGGACAATTGTAACCACTAACAAGTACTGTTTTCTAAAAAAAAAAAAATTTGTAACAAGTGACTTTCATGTTTATAGCTATAATAGGTACATATATATTTTGAGAAATGGCGTAAAAGGTACATATTTGTTCCCTTAATGTAAATAATACATTGGCATAAACGGTGACCTTAATGCTTGTCACTAGTCAACGTACACGAGACAGCTAGATTAAATAATAGTAATAATAAATAATAATAATAAGAGAGCTAGCTTGTTATATATTCCTGAGGATCCAAACATTTACTAGCTAGCTACTAGTAATTAAAGGTATTAATCGGAATCAGCAAGCAAGCCTCCACCAGAGAAATTCACTGCAACCTGCAAAAATAATGCCGCAAGTATAAGCAAAAACTTAATTATACGTTAAATAGTTAAGTGATTCCATATCAATCAAATAGACAATACATGCAATTTTTTATTTTTTATTTTGAAAATTATTGCGATAGTCAATAGATTTGATTTGGCAATAATTAATTTTAAGATAAGAGCAAAAAATTATTTAATTGGAATATGAAATCATAATAAAAGAAAAATTTGTGTAACGTTATACTTGCTGCAGTCGGTATCGAGTTTAATTGGGTAAGGGACGTTGACATCACAGCGGCCAGGAAGCTGTTCAGCGTTTTTAGGGTTGATTCCGGGGACAATTTCAAACAATGACTTCAAACACCGGCATGCAGATTGGATGTCGGGGGTTGTCTTTGCCTCGTCGTTTAGAGCCTTAACGCCGTTGCAGCAACCGAAGGACGGTTTTCCACCCATTGTCAGGTAACCGAGGCACGGGGCTAGTTTGAGTTTAACTTCATCGCAGCTGATGGCTTCCACGGCCTCATCGTGAGATGAAATTGAAACTCCGATCACCACCGTGCAGAAGAACACGGCTAGGAGAATTATGACTCCATTCAATTTCATCATTTTTTTTTTCTCCCTAGAGCCTTTTATGAAAGCGGAACTTGATATATTTTTCAAGAAGATATTGAGTAGAGTTGTTACACTGATGAGTGAAATTTGACGAAGAGATCAAGCTCTTTTTATAGGCCTTGTTAGCATTGAATGAAGTTTTAATCAATCAAGATTAGTACTAAGTGCGATTCATTTTATTGGAGAACTTGACACGAGACCTTGAGAAGGATATATAACTAATTACCAATTATGAAAGTAATTTTATCCGTTTTCCCATTTTTCTCTAAAGGCATCTTCTGAAAAGTTTTATCTCTAGACTATCATCTTGTCAACGTGTTTTACTTTGATTTTATAATTAAAACAATAATTTGTTTTATGGATTTGGAGATTTAAAATAAAAGAAGAGAAACTCAAGGCTTGTGGTTGAATATCAGAGGGTTTTCGTTCTCGTTAATCAAAGTTGTGTGTTCAAGTTTCATTTTAGGTTCTCAAAACTTGAAATTTGGGGTCAATTAACTCACTTTCAAGGTGTTCACAGTTGAGCAATATTGGGACCTCTTTGTTATCTTTTTGAAGCAAAGATCAACAAATTAGAATATATTACGGGTTTGGTATTTAAGTAATCACAAAATTGAAAACTAATTGGTAATGAGTGTAGTAACACGACCTTTTGCCAAGATAATTTGATAAACAACAGGGTTTGATAATTTAGGAGGATTTACTTGATCAACAAATATTCAATTCAATTTTCAATGGGAGATTATCGAGACTACCAATGATATATTTTTTTGCTCTCGCGGTTAAAAGTCGTTGTCACAGAATTTGATGTCTATTGATATATTTACGCATTGTTCATTGAACAGAGTAAATAGTTAATAATTGGTTATTGTTTGTTGAGGTAAAGCTAAATGTATGAGTTTTTCTACTATTGAATTCCATCGAGCATAGAGCGAAATCTTATTAATACTTGGCAATTATAGTATTGTTACTTCATCTTGTATCAATATATATATATATATATATATATATATATTGTTACTTCATCATATGCAGAAAAGTTTAACAAAACAAGCAGTGAGAAATTGGTGGTGTTCAACAACATTAGTCGTCCTCGAGGAAACGGTTATTCTTACTCGGAAAGATGCGAGCTTGCAATAGACGATACCACAATTCTTAGTTAATAAATAGCCACAAAATGAAAAGCCGTACATATATATTACATATTTTTAACCATAAAGCAAACCATAAATCAGCATGAAGGTGGACCTTAACAGTACCGTTTAGCTAACTATTCCTGAGGATCCAAACACTTGTGTTTGCAGAAACCCTTTCTTATTTAATTACCAGTAATTAATAGTGTACATCAGTCTCAGCTAGCTCGCAACAAGGCCTCCATCAACTTATCCTCAGATGAATTCATTTCACCCTGCAAAGATAATGGCTCAAATTTAATAATATTAGCTAACAACCCAAATTCATGTGTTAAAAAGAAATATAAGTGAATTCTAACTAATTGAGTTAATTTAATAATAAATTCTAATAAAAATTCATTAAAAAATCGAAAATTTGGCGTGAAATTAAGAAAGTAAATTATTCAAGTCGATCAAATGTGAAAGTATAGGGGAAAAAAAAAGTGTAAGTAATATTCATACTTGCTGCAGTCGGTGTCGAGTCTAATTGGGTAGGGAACATTGACGCCGCAGATGGCTGGAAGTTTTTCAGCGTTGTCAAGTTTGATCCCGGGGATGGTTTGATACAATGTCTTCAAGCACCGGCAAGTAGACTGGCGGTCCGGGGTTGTCCTGGAAGCATCGTTTACGGCCTTAACGCCGTTGCAACAACCAAACGAAGGCTGGCCACCGTTTCTCAGGTAGTTAAGGCATGATGCCAGCCGGAGTTTTATCTGATTGCAGCCGATGCCGGCTACCGCTGCTTGGGGCAGTGATTGTGTAGCCCCCATCACCACCATGATGAACATCGCTAGGCTAATGATAACTACGTTCAATTTCATCATTTTGGTAGCTTGAAGTGATTTATAGAAGAAGAAATTGAGTGGAGTAGTATATTTGAGTGATGAGCCAAATTGATGAAGGGATCAAACTTCTTTTTATAGGCGTGCATTACGTTTAGCAACCAAGTCTTAATCAGAAATAACAAGTGCATATTTATTGGATAACTTCACACGAAACTGAAAAGTAGTCAAATTCAACTACTTTCAGATTTTTCATTTTACATTTTTCACTTTTTGGCAATTGTTTTCTAG